ATCTTCTCTAATGAGAATGTTCATTATGGATAATCTATGTTTTATTCCCATCAATAATATTAATGATTTATTTACATCCGCTGCAACGTGTTCATATGAACAGTATTTTTATGTGTAGTACATTAATCCCCCTATAACGCGGAGATTTCTTAAGTTATATTTCGGTTGTGTAAAATTTGTAATGATTTGTCAAGTTCATAATTAGATTAACGTACCTTTACACCTGTTTCAATTGTGTTATAAAATTAAACTACTTGACTTTACTAAATTTGTTTTCCTACTTTTTGATTTTTTTTTTTTTTTTTTTATTACAAATTGACTGTCCCTGTAAGCTGGTGAAGCTTGTGTTATGGGTACTAGGCAACGGATATACATACATAGATAGATATACATATAAATACATATTTAAACACCCAAGACCTAAGCACAACACCAAACGCTCATCACATCGATGTTCGTCTCAGCCGGGGATCGAGGATTTCAGTCAGGGGTACTAACCCTAGCCAATGGTCGTCTAAAATATTATAAATTATTGATTAATGTGGTAAAAAAACGTTTTTTACGAGAATTCTCCTTTAACGCGATTTCCTATAACGCGGTCGGGGTCTACCGCGTTATTAGGGTACGTAAGCGTTACCATTGGTTAAATTTTTTCTGTCGGTGGCCGAGCTCTACGATCCACTTACATTGAATATTATAATTAAGATGATTTAATCCAACTTTGTCATTTATGTATTTTATTTATGTTAGGATAGTGATGATAGGCCAATAAATAAAAAATCGACTTTCTAAAAAAAGATTTAAAACTTTTCAAAAAAACACTGAAAATGTTAGCCTACGAACTTATCAGCCCACCTAATATATAAATTACGATTTTCTGCAACTATATTACAATTTCTCAATGTTTATCTATAAGAATATAAAAGTTTATATTTTATAAGGAATCTCGTATTCCTTGAAAAATTTAAACTTTTATATTACTGATTGCATTCAATACACTTTCATTACTACATTATTATACTTGTAAGTCTTCTGTCCGTATGGATAGTAATCACAGCCTCTTCAAAAAGTATGGCTTTACACCATTGATATAAACTTAGTATCATAATGACACTGGCCAACCTGTTAGAAGGAGCCTTCAAAACCGGCCGTCAGCGGATGCGCGTCCTGTAAGGCTTCGGACCGGTTGATATCATTTTATTTCGTTCCCACGATTGCTAATATATTGAAATAAACCTGTTTTTAAAGTGATTAGATTTATTTTTTTTATCACCATTTTTACGTAATGAAAGTGATGTTCACACGACTTGGTCGGAACGAAGTTCTTAATTTCTCGTAAGATATTTAAATTGTGTTTCTTATTCATCAGGTTAATTTGTTTGCGAAAATATTTAATTCTATTTTTAATATGTTATAAAAGATAAGATTAATCCAACCGTCGTTAATTAATTTACATCGTCCCATTTGGTGAACATTAAGTGACAATGCTAAATTACCACACCAAAGCAAAACTACGCCTTTTAGCCACATGCGAATATGGAAAAAAGTTTAAAAATAAATAGTCGCGGTGGCGTCTCCCGCGTGGCGACGGTCAGGCCACATGTTGCTTTGTCTATATTTATATTACTCTATTTAATCCATACTCATAATAATGTAAATTTGTTCAGGAATTATAAAATTACGTCAGTGTAGAATGAAAATGGTCGCGTGGATGGTAAGGAATATAAAATTTACATAAATGAAGCGTTGCACAATTGACTCGGTCTTGTACGTATTTTAAATGTCAACGTCAACTGTCGATATCCAAAGGGTTCATAAGTATTAGTAATATCTTAAATTATTTGTGTAGTTAGGTAATACATACACGTTCTTATTCCTCGCGTTTTCCTTCAATGTTGGCGGTTTTAAATAGCAATCAAATCGTGCACAGCCGGAATTCGAACGCTCTAAGTTACACTGCGGTTAAAATTGGTGAATAATTTCTACCTGCTCACAAACTTTGAAGCCGGATTAACCCTTCATAACCCTAGAAATTGGGCGCCATAAAAGAAAAATAAAAAGCAATACAAACAAGCAATAAAACGTTTTGCGAGACATATGGCGATCGTGTGAACGATACACACATGCTGGACACACACGTACTGATTAGTACAATTGACGTACAAACAAATAAATACGTTTTTATATTCAACGAATATCTTATCGCTATAATTATATATCGAAGGGAAAATCTACGTTTTTTTACACACACGTTGTTGGTACACCCACAGGCACCAAACATTTTAAAATTATTTTAGTTTTCTATTTATTCATTTTTAATGATTATAAATTATACATAAATGAATAGAAATCTTGTGTCTGTAGTACATCAAATTATCGCAGAAGTCAAAAATATAAATAAATATAATTGAAGATACTTTCGGATTAATTTTGTTTTTCATATTCGTCGGCGAATGATTGAAACCTAATATTAAGGCTCATTACTCTTTGATGGACTCGCAGACATTTCACCATTTCATAGAAATGCTTTTAAACCATTGTTTAGAAGAAGAATCTATAATTGAGCCATAAAGCATTTTTATATTCAATCTACCTATGTATGATATTATAGTTTAACTAATTAGTCTCTCATTTATTGATCTAAACTGTTAATTGGATTAAAAAAATCATATATTTCAAGAGATTTATAACATAAATATGGTCACGTAGAACTTTGTTTTACCATAGTTAAAACGGTGGTTTGCGGTTTGAGCCATTTTAGTTCAGTATGTCATATCAAAGGATGTATTTAATATTGTTTAATTATGGATTTTAGACAATATTTCAACGAAATTGTGTATAGTAAGGCATAAAATCAGATATTTTAGCAAGTTTAGAGGTTGATATTACTCAGTATATTACATTTTTGTGAAATAGTTTTCCTTTAATTATCCATTATTTTGTTATTTAAGTCTAGAACAACGATTTGACACTGGTTTCAAGATGTAGAATTTGTCTCTGATGTTGCGTCAAACATATTGTCTCCTAAAAAAACTTGCGTAATTAAACATATGTTCTGTGGACAACCCATGGACAAACAGTTGCTATAAACCTAAAAGCCAACAAGCCGTGGCTAACAAGTTTAATCAACAAAACATGTATTACCATAACAAACAGACACACAGACATCCGAGGAGACACAATAATTGCCTCTCACCGAGATTTGTACACCTACATTTAAATGACCAAGATGTAAGCGCCAGCGTGGCGTTGCATAGCAGCAATCATAAAACAAATTTAATAATTGGGAGTCTTAGAATTATCTGCATGGCTACTCTATAGGTACCGATGAGTGACTGGAATTGGAATACCTACTAAAAAAATATGAATTCGATAATGACGATACTTCGATGTAGTTCTTGAATATCCTGATTTAGCACTAACTGGTTTTAAGTTGTGTGTTAAAACTCGATATAAAAATTCGGATTGTAATCCAAAGGGTTACTTATTATTTATTAACACTTCATTCTAACACAAAATATTAAAAAAAAATCACAGTACAACGGACACTCTTATCCCTAATAAGTGGTTTCTTTCAGACCAGCCTAGTTATATCGGGATGTTACTTTTTCTCGGATCATATGAACTTTGTCGATATATTTTTGATTATTGAGTCTAGAAAATTAAAAAAATTGCAAAAGCACAGGATTTAGAGTTATTTGTCATCAGGTATTTTCAGGTTCATCTTGTACCAAACATTTGGAGATGCGCGTGGGCACAGCTTGTGCAACCACAAACTTCTAAACAAATACCTAATGAGCGATGTGGGTTGTGTGACGTCACTTTTGCTAGATTTTATACTTTCTAAGTTATATTATAAATACGACCACATTGTGACCATCCATTTCTGCACGCAGTCCATTAATTGGTGTAAGGTCTAGATTAGCACCACGTTTTATTAATATTCATCAGATCGCTTTTTCTGTAGGTGAAAAACGTATAAAATCTTTTACTACACAACTTTCGGCTGAAATGTGTTAAGACACTCGTCCAAATTTGAATGGTCCCTCGTGAGGTGAAATTACACAAAATAAGTATAAAATGTCAGAATTATGTCCATCTCGTCTCTATAAAAAATTAACGACACATTGATTTAACGACAAAAGACTTTAATGTTTTTGGAAGATGCATTTAAGTGTAATTTTTCAGTCCAAAGTCGTAAAGTCTAAATAAATATTTTTTTACGATTTGCCATAAAATTGTATAAGCTTGAAATTTGAAAGACATTTTATTATAATAGGAATTGTGTAGACAGTTCTGCTCATTCGTGATGTGATCTTTTCAATAAGTTTGCGTTTTAATGCCTAATGGTGCGCCGTTCCATGTAATAAAGTTGGCAAATAGCGAGATAGGTTTTTTATGCTTCCACGAATTGATAAATACAATAGGTATTGACAACTAAGGATAACATACACCCAGTGGCACTATAACCACTATTATGGGTCTCTATATTTCTCTATTTTGTTGATAATTTTGTAGCAAGTGCGTAATTCAAAATGGAAAACGTAGTTTTTTGGAAATGTCGGTTTTTTTCACGATGGTTCCCGTTCAAACGATTGTTATTGGAATACATACAAAGAAAAGTCAATACATTACAATACACAAAAGTCAGTAGGTACATACGACCTCAGGCTCGAAAATCGCAGTATTTACTACTAGGCACGATGTGTTAGAAGCTATTCCAAAAACTACCCTCTTTTTTTCATATGTATTTTATGAAAGAACTTACATCTACATTAATAATATAATTATATCTATATTAATAATATGATTTAACGGCTCTCTCTTGTTTTACAGATCACGATCAGCCAAAATGGGGAAAGCGCATAGATATCGATGACAGTTTTGATAGCTGTCAATGTGCCGCAGTGCGTCGTTCAGATTGTGACATAGTGACAATGTGGAGGTGATTTTCGTGTGCTGTAGTGAAATTATGTGCTGTGATTTTTACGAACAACAAGATGTGTGCCAAATTAAGGATTTTAGTCGCTTTATTAAGTGGTAAGTTTCATTTTGTTTTCTTTTTTAGATTGATTTGTTTGTTTGTTGATAACATTTAAATATTACTAAACCAGATTATATTTTCAAATTCACAAAAATTAACTGAAACAAATCATACCTACTCTATAGTTACTCATAATAGGATGAAAAGCTATTTAAAAAGTATCTTCGGAACCTTGCCTAAAGGGACTCCTTTAAATAAAATATTTTAGTTACTATATTTTAAGGTTAGTTAAGGTTTTTTTTATTACATAGAGAAAATCATTTTCTCTTATATGTTAAGTATTTCGTGCACTATTTATAAGTACCTACATTTGGGCATAATTAAAATTTAAACACGTAATAATGAATCACGAGTTTGAACGGAACCTATTTAACGAAAATGTTAGCAAAAACTTGCCTTCTCAAAATCGTCACCGATGTCTTGCAAGTGCTTCACCGGTTTTTGAAAGGATATCCGGAGGGCATAGCTGCCTTGAACTTAGGTATAACGCAAGCAAATTGGCTGAATTACTGATCCAATCGAGAATCATTATTTGAAGTGTATTTGGTTTTGTTTCTAATGAGATTTAAAGAGAAGTGTTGGCACAGTGGCTTCAGCGCGCGACTCTCATCCCTGTGGTCGTAGGTTCGATCCCCGGCTGTGCACCAATGGACTTTGTGTCTATGTGCACATATAACATTCGCAGGAACGGTGAAGGAGACATCGTGAGGAAACCGGCTTGCCTTAGACCCAAAAAGTCGACGGCGTGTGTCCAGGTATAGGAGGCTTATCACCTATTAGATTGACAAATGATGATGAAACAGATACAGAAATCTGAGACCCAGACCTAAAATGGTTGTAGCGCCACTGGTTTATTTTATTTATTCAAATGAGATCCGGGCAAGTTTGTGAACGTAAATTAAAATTAGCTTTAGTTTATAAAATTCTCATACCAATTTAATTGTTAAACACAGTACAATAATAAGTACTTAACACAAATATTTACATTTGAAACAATAACTAGGACTTAAAAAATAATAAGTCATTGAAGTCACCCTTCCTTGAACCCCTGCAGTTAACATTTGGTACTATTTAATATTAATTAAAAGCCACTCGAACCTAGCATTGTTATGGGGTTGACTTTGTGCTTAAAATAATTGATTATTGTTTTTTTTCTTCCGTTATTGCGTTTGGTTCCAGTGAAATGTGAATATTTTTTTGGCTTTAGGTTATATGAGTTGGCTACTCTTCCACTGCAGGGATAGAATTATTCATATATATGTATATTGTATATATATACATATATATATATATATATATATATATATATATATATATATATAGTTAATTAACCATTACCATTAATTAGTTGATTTAACTCAATAATATAATACTGATTAAAAAAAATCTGTCACATTGCACAACTGCTTACTATATTTACCATATATATATATGTAAAAAATAATAATAATGTAAAGTTTGTTGTTAATGCAGTTTTATAGATTTGACAAAATAAAAATATGTCCCTACTGTAATAATGTTTCAATAAAATCCCATTATTTTGATAGAGCAGTGAAGTGACAAAATTTTCGTCCCAAAAGTTTGAACTTTTTTCTTTTAGGAATTGTTTTGGGGTTCTTTAGATATAAATTATGTTTAAAAATACATCAGAAAACAATTTGTTTGAGTTTTATCAATTTGTGGTAATAAATGTAATAAACTATGTATTATATTGTTCAGCAAAAAAAAATCTAGTGGTATATATATATGCGCAGATGTACTTTCACATTGACGAGACAAATCGTCGCTTAGCTAACAATACCGCATAAGTCAGATTTGCTTAGTTTTCAGGAGAGACAAAAACTGTATTACTTTAACATTTTGTACAATACATGCATGATAAAAAATTTAATATATTGTATTTAGTTAAGCATGATAACTATAAAAACAAATAAAAGAAATATCGTCTTATTAGGTAATTTTCAAGACTTGAGCAGTTTTACTCTAACAAAGTAAAGACTTAGCGGTGTTTTTACCTTTTATTTTTAGCTATAAGTCTTTCATAGAAAATCTTTCTATGAAAAACTATCAAAATAAAAACATTTTTCAAAAACAGTTTTATAAAACTAATTATTAACTTCAATAAAATAAAAAAGATGCTAAATTAGCTTTTTATCAAAAAAAACATTCTTGCCGTTTTATTTTCTTATTCCAAAGGACAACCCTGGGTTCGCTAATATTATAATATATTATAGGAACTATTGACTTACGACTGTACTGTTTGACGAGATCAACTACTTACCTACTGAGATCAATAAAATTATCTAAGTTAAATGGAAACCAGAGCAAACCACTGCTTTGTAATTTAGGTAATTTTTTCCATGACTTCTAATAATTCTAAACTCTCAAAAACTTTAATTAAATGGTACATTTAACACAAACAATACAAGACAATAAGAACACTTCGAATACTTAACCTACTTCTAAAAATAATACAAAATGTTTATGGACTAATAATGAAAAATATTTAATTTTTATAAGGTAACTCATCATAATATGGTGGAGTTGAAGGTATACTGCCTTTAAATCTTGGAGATCCTTATATTTTCTTTGAGAAATTGGAGTCTTTCAGAAAATAATTTGGCAGCTTCTGGTTTAACATTGGTAATTTTCATTGAGTGAGGCAACGGCTGCAAAGGTTCGTAAAGTTTAAGCTAACAAAAGTTCATTGGTTTATATTTAATACCCTTAAATGGTAATAGTGGATTTTTGGGAGAATGGTTTTGTAAATTAAATCCTTACTGAAATTAAAAAAGAGAATTCAATAATGAATAAGATTGGGTTATCTAGTGCTTTGTAATGAATGGGAAGGAAGGTAAATTTCTTTTCCCTTTAACTACATTCGATGGCTTGGAAGAGTCGCATTCCACTGGTGTGACCTTTTTCTAAGATTTGTTGAGTTATTTTAACTTTTTATGATGGATAAACGAGAAGAGATGTTAAGATGGAATTTCGATTTGGACAGCAGCCATCAGAATACAATATACGGTATAATTTTCTATTAAAATTATCTGTAGTTGATCCAAAGAGATGGAAAAAGAAGTTAAGGGAGCCATTTGATTCATCGAAAGTAGCAGCAAGCTTCAGTGTTGACAAATTATAATGGTAAAATTGTAACAGATAAAATTTTGTAGTATATGGCATAACCTAAGGAGATAATTTTATGATTGAACATTTTAAATAATAAGTTTCCTTCTTGCCAATTTTTGTAGTTTTTTTTTTTAGTTTGTCTTTCCTATGGATGTATGAATTTAGTATGTTTATATTTCCAACTTTATGACCAAGAAATGATTGATCTTTTGGGATGAAACAGACTAAGATTCTGTTTTAAGAATACATTGTCAAAAACCCTACGATAAGACATTTTAAGGAATCTAATTCGCATTTACTGACGTATTCTTTGTATAATGGAGGTATGAAAACTGCTAGGTATGAATTGTGACAGTAAAGATGGATTCGGAGGTATCAAAAATTGTGTAGACGCTGTGACCATAGAGTTCTTTTGGAGAATCTACATTCCGAGAAATCTCAGAAGGGGGGCATAGACAATCTGTCATAAGATGAAAACCATTATTTAATACCCAATGTATTAAAACATTTTTTCTCTATGTCTCTTTTGTAAGTCACGTAAAGTAAAACTTTAATTGAGGTCAACTTTGAAAAGTCATCAGGGTGGTATATATCGACCATATATACATAATACCTACAGAGTCAGAAACTCAACACAGAAGTACATTGTAAGTATTCAGAATCGAAACCAAGCAAAGAGAAACGCCTAATCAAGAAACTGTTATTCCAAAGCTTAGTATTATGTTTTTAAATGCAATCGTATACTATTTTAATAAAAAATATGAAATATTAGTACTTACCTTTAAACAATCAGTGGGCCAGTCTTACAAAAAATCGCTTTTATAAAAACGACAAACATCTTATAAGTGATGAGGCCAAATAATGGTTGATATGGGTTGGAGATGAGTTGTGGATGTTTTGAAAACGGTCTTATTGGAGATATTACTTGGAGAGTCATTAGAGGGGGAAAGTAATCTATGATGGTGTAAAAAGAAGGGGTGAGTTTATTTTCTGTTTATGGGATATTTATGCCAGTCTATGATATGATTTAACCAAAGCTATAAAGAGATCTGTTCATAACTAAAAAAAATATAAATATTTTTGCATAACAGTTGAGTTACAAAACTTTGTACACGGAACTCGCGATCGGCCGACACACGCTTCGCTGTTCCGCAATCAAAATGTCAAAGTAATTGACTTATTTGCAAACGCGACTAAATACTGAATATTTGACCCGAGATTTTGTTTCCAATATGTTACGGTTTTTATATTGCCGTTTTATGATTGTTAGGAAGCTTCATATGTGCAATACACGTATGAAACTTATATTTTAGTTTATTAAATTCAATGCAACGTATATATGAACCCTGTGTCATAATATGTATGTTTGTTATTTTAGCTTCTCTCTCAAATTGAGTTTATGCTGCGATGAAAAGAGACGGACGGATACTTTAGTTTAAAACTGTGCAATTAACTTATTTTTTTATAAATAGTTCCCCATTGGGTTATTTTAAGACAATTCTAAGAACATTTTAATTGATTTTATGTTTTTTCTTACAGTAAAGTTCACAATAGATAGTGCGACTTTACATGAATTACAATATAACCTATATAATAATTATGGCTAATAATAAGTAATATTATGTTGATAAAACACTATTTTGACCGGATTGAAGTTATGTATTATTATAAATTTACAACTATTTAACATAATTTAAATTTATAGTTTGGTGCTTTAAGGTGGTGGTAGGTAGGTGTAAATTTAAAATTATGTTAAATAGTTGTAAATTTATAATAATACATAACTTCAATCCGGTCAAAATAGTGTTTTATTAAATGAATAAAAGTTATGTTAAAAAGAAAAATTATGTTGAATTATTTTCTACAACTAGTATTGAATAGCAAAAATAAGGTGTTCTTAGTGTTTTATAATGTTTTGACACTCTGTCCGAGAATCCGTAATACATAAAACAAGAACGCAGTATTATTATATTGTCTTTGGTTTATGAGGCTATACATTTAAATTATTCTTTAACGGAAACAAATACGAATTACACTTAGTTTTTTGCCGTTAGTCCGCAAAGTCACCGTCAAGTCGTGCGTTAAATAAGTCTTATTTACTTTGTTTGTTTTAAATAAGCTGTTGGTTGATTTTCCCTACAATATATAAAATCTTTAAAGTTTTAAATTATACTTGTCCTCTATAAAACATGAAAAATCTTCGCTTTACATCCGCTGGATTCCAATATTTTATACAGAGACATTTTGGTTTAAATTAAAATACTGTCATCTACTTCCTGTCGAATGGAAACGCGCACTCGATTCCAAGAAAGTTCCCCTATATTTTGCTCATAAATCTCCCACGTCAGCGAAATCATAACTTTGCCGAATTTTTATCGACTAGTCCTATTAATGATATTGTTTACCGTGTCTATACTCGTCACTGTTATGATTCTATAAGAAACAACTGTTTTACTATTCATATTTGTGTATTAGTGTTGCTTATATTAACGATGAGTTTAAATATTTTCTTAAGTTGGGTAGTTAGAATTAGCACGGGTAAAACCGCGAGGCATACATTAGTTAAAGTGCCACCCAGGCATTAAATTTAGATTATTCTGTTTTTGGTTTAAGTTCTTACTAACAGTTTACTGGTCAGTTAAATACGATTTAGATGTATGTCATGTCATTATATGTCAAAATTGAGAAGTTAACACTGAAAAATGTAGCCCTTTTCATGTTGATCAAATCTACAGCTCAACTAAACTCTTTCGAATATGCCGAATTATCTCTCTTCAGTCTGTAGCTTATGTAAGAGCGTCACCAAGGAAACATCTGGAGCGGACAATCTGTTTCCACCGGTTTCCGTCCAGCGCTCCTCTTGTAACAGTGTATAGTTGAGGACAATTAGTCTTTCACTTGTTCGGTCTATCTGGATGGTGAACGGCCCGTGATCTTTTTGCCTTCTGTGTTACCAACGACGATCAGTTTCTCCAAGTTCTCATCGCCACCGCGCATTGCGAATTAATACAATTAATTTCGCTGAATTCCCTTCCTTGGTTATAATAATGTTCCTAAGCTAACAGCAAAATAATAAATTAAATCTATATAATTATTTGTGTAACGCTTGATAATTGTCCTTCGAGGATAACTCAATCACGTAGTTATTAAATCTGGTTTACAAGGTCTGGTTTAGAGTTATTTCTTAGTCGTTAACTAAGATTTCTTAACACGTTCTGTTGTGGAATTGTGATCGTAAAGTTTTATATAGATTCTTATATTTTATTTATAGTTTTGATAAAAATATGAAATTAATCTTATATTAAAAACGCCTTGGTTGGCTTAAGGCTCGATGTTTCGATATCAGACCAAGATGTCATCTACGTGCAGACTGTTTTGGGAACAAACACCGACTACACCATTTATACAACGCAAACCTAGATATTAGCCATCCAAAAAAAAACACACATTCTTCGCCCAACGCTTTTTCTCCTGCCCTTTCATCTTTAACCACAAACAAAGATTTTACTAACGTTTCAAAACTCACATACATTCACTAAAAATCTTAAACAACATCTTGTCAACCTGTCCTATGCTGATGCAGCAAATATTAAGTCAAGTCAAGTACAGTTAACACTTCAAAAGGAAGAGACTTTCTGCCCACGACTCAGGGAGTCCTAGTGTGGGGGTAGTGCATTCTATTTTACCTAAATATCCTTTTATTGTGTATAATAAAGTTTTTTATTTACTTTCTTACGTTATATTCATAAAACATATGTAGAAAGGAGTCTGCCAAATGAGCCATAAGTCATAACAGGATTACTGGACATCAAACACATGTAAAAAATGTTCGTTACGTCTTAATTTGGGTAAAAAATATAAACAATTTCAACACAATAGTAGTAAAACCGCAAATTTGCGAGTAAAGTACAAAAAACACGCAATAATTATTTACAAAAGCAACGTAGATCACGACGCAACACAAAAGTATGTCTGAGTGACAATTGAAATAACAAACGCACGGTTAATTTGAGTTGAGTGTGTGCGCCGCTTAAGGTTGCCATTGTAAACTAGCCTTATTGTGCTCTGTGTTATGGGCGAGAGCGGAATACATTTAATAGTGTATACCTAATACCACTGTGGAGCACCATAGGTGGTTTCACCCTAACACTATTAGAGAACTCAATATGTTTCGTACTAAAAAAATCTGTCGATAGACCAAGTACGATTACTTCTATTTGCAAGTTGCTCTATCGCATTGAAGATTTTTAGTCTAGCTTAGAGAGGTCTACGTCAGGACATTGTCTGCACTTTGAATTGAGTTTTTTGAATTTAGAATCCAATTTTACGATTTAAATTGAATTTGGAAAGCCGTTGCCTTACCCCACCGCGCAAGGAGCGTTCACCTCTGTAGAGTCTGTCGCGCCTTATAAGTACACTTGTCTCCACTCAGCTATCATATTAGCCGAGGGAGGCTGAGAAGCAACGTTTTTTGCTCAGCACTTTTCAAGGTTCAGCTTTGATGGGCGAATTGCGTGATTCGGATACTAAAATTATTAATATACATCCGAAGTCTACGATGATTATTGAAACACATAGAAAATAAATTTTTGTGCACATGCTTCGAACGGAATCAGGGTTGTGATTTGCGAATTTAATTACTACGCTAACACTGTTGACTAAAATAACAATTTCTTATTTAAAATGTATATAGATAATATATTAAGAAGATTAGGTCTGTATGTTACTGTACTATATTTTTATTTAAACTTCGCTACATTAAAAGAAAAACAAATAACATAACATACATTTTTAAGCGATCTCTGCCAGGCAACCCTACTAATGAAAAATCCTAAAAATAAATAATATATATATATGTATATATAATAAGTGCATAACCAAATTAACCAAATTAACAGAAATAACCATATATTAAAATTAGTCTTCTAAATATATATAATGTTAATTCCTTTTAAAATAAAACGTTTCTTTAATCGCAATTACTCCTAGCATTCTCCTGTTACAAAAAGTCAAAGACGGGAGCAACATAGCAATACAGTTACGTAAGATTGTAATGGGATGAAAAACCTGGATTGACCAAGGAACAGGTTGTTTGTGTCTCGTGTTTTTATTCAAAGCCCGGTAATTTAGAAAAAGGAAATAATTCAAAGGTGATGCTTGAGGTGCTTGTTTCTTTTGTTCTAAGTTTTTATACCTTATACCTTAGGATTTTGTGATGTTAATGATTTTGTGTCCTAAATAGAAGTCCCACAGTCCTTTAACAGTGTTTTTATCGCACTTTATAATTTTTAGTTCAAAGTGTGTGGTGTGTCCTCAATTTTAACCTCTATGGTTTTTTGTCAAAAACAAAAACTTCAATAAGTTTATAATATAAAAATATAAGTACCTACTTGTGCCATATTGTATTTAAGTGTCGATGAATAGTGACAGATGCGTAGTTAAAACAGTGTTTGAAAACAAATGAAGTATTTCGTTTTTATTTGCCATGGTGGTCGGATTTCATTTGTTTAAATATTTTATTTTATATATATAATTATTGAGATCTCATATTTGTTATAATTTTACATTAAGTTCTTATATTATTAACTTAGTACAATAAAGCCTTGTGATGGCCCTTCGAAATAACAACTAACCTCTTGGTATTGTTAGGTTGGCGTGGAAAATATGTTTTAAGAGAAAAGCTGTATCAGCGATCGGAAAACCTTGATAGTTGGCCAAGAAGATTATACCAACAATGCGCCAATCGAAGGCCGATTTAGTTTTTAAAAAATACAGAACTTAGTTGAATAAATATTTGAAAGTAATATTGTAATAAAGTGAAGTTTTTATTTCATTATAATAAAATTTGATAGCGATTAAGAACTGTGTAGGTCTGTAGTGTTCTGTGCTGAACTACAATAATATTATGGCAATAAAGTAATATAATATTTAACATACACTCTAACACTCACTTTAGACGTATCATATCGTAATAGTGATTACGGCGTATTTGATGGACCCTGTAATATGTCCACTATAAAAAAAACAGTGCCAAACATTTTAAACTCCTATCAAATCGGTTCACAACGATCAGGAACCTCGTTGTGTCCAAGGGTTTTTAAAACAATGTGTATTATTAATAATGAATATGTGATACAACAATTATTACTTATTTTTCAGTGCTGTCAGTGGAATGTTTCCAACAACAGTATTTCCGCGTGTCCCCACGAAGTCTGCGCGTTCTCGAAGGCGCTGAAGCAGTTCTAGAGTGTGCAGTGGCAAACCTTGCTGGCCAAGTGCAGTGGGCCAAGGATGGATTTGCACTTGGTGAGTATCTCTATTTCTATGTTTATTATATTATGTCTAACGCCTATATAACTTGCAGGACACACGTTTGTTTTAATGCGCGTTTATTTTGATTGGAAAGGTACAGGTTTCTCGCTTACTTAGTTAATTAACATTCATAATTATATTTTATTGCTACATTAATCGTTCAAATAATAAGAATTTAAATCTGATACTAGCATTGTCTGTCAGTTAATATTGTCAATATTATATCTATTATTATTGGATGTCATACATTGTTTATGAAAATTTTGTGAAAAGGGTTACAGAAATACCTAATAATTACGACGGACGACATTAATAAAATACTTATAAAAAACACAATTCATTAGATATTTGGCGATAACAATCCATACAGCAATAAACTAGAGTCACAAATTGTATTTTTATTGTTTAAAATCAGTGTATTTCCAACGCGTTGCCAGAGATCCATTGTTAATACAGCCTCTTGGGTCCAAGATGGCGGCTTGCCAACCATCACATAATGTTATCTTTATGTATTATGTTATGTAATAGATCAAATGGGTTTTTAGCTGACACTCGCAGTTTTTACAAAGATACAAGTTTTACCCGAAACTATTACACAGAGATTCAGGCTATTGTATGGTACATATTACCAAGTAACGATAAGCTCCTACTAACGCATATCTTTAGCCCGCATTGAAAACGTGTCTCAAAGCGAAGTCTAGTGTGATACACTGTCTATTGTTTTGTTTCAAAGGAAATGGTCAGTTCTTGAAAGATTTCAATAAAGATATGAAGATAACAATTTAGCTTGTCTGTTTCTTTAGAAAGCTGACGTACTCATGGATATATTTTTTGAACTGTAGACACGACTGAAGATCAAGTAGCTTACATGTACAGATTTAATAATTTAATTTTAAGTTTAATATTTTTGTATAATCTGGCTTTCTTTAGAATCTCGCATTCATTAATCTTGTATCAATGACATGCGTATTGCGTATGTTGGTGATGAATTTGGAGATCTAGTTGAAAATACGCAATTGAGATGTTCAGATTCAGTCAATTACTTGAACCACCCACCAATTAGACGTTTATATAAACGTCACAGGTGACCTGCTCTACTCAAAGCGAATTGATTTGAATGTAGCGAATATCTCGACTATTGAGTATTGACATACCCGATCAATACAGACATAATATCGTTACAGGCTATTGACCCTGCATTGTCGATATTTCTTAATTTTTCTACATTGCCATAACTACAAACCTTTCTTATCATGTAATTACAAAATTAATTGCTGGTCCTCTTTATCAGGATTTATATAGAAGTCAAGATTATCGGATTAAAACGAATTTTATTTACTAGTACTTACCTACAGGATCATGTTAGATAGATAAAGATATCTTTTTAAGTTTGTAACACTAATTTAACTACTAAAAAGGCACAAAAAGCAAACAGATGTCGAAGATTACTTCACGAATTTCTTTAATACTTAATTTATTATATAATTCTTAATCTCAAATCGTTAGCAGAGCTTTTAATCAAGGTAATTGAGTATAATCCGATTAAATTGAGGAGCCTCATTTCCTTTCAGCACCAATTAGTGGATTGGTTTTCAATTTTTTTTCCGGGTTTTATAAGGGTGATAAGACTGAAACGATATCTGTTCTATGAAGAACATTTTCATAGATTTACACAGTTAATAAAAAAAATATGAATTTACTACATTTACGAGATTATTTATCGAATTAAAGTTATTACACGTCTCTATCTCTTCGTCGAGTAAGTCAACTGTTCTTTTACGATAGCTTATTTTGGAAAGTCTATGCTACGCGTTAAGGCTACTTTAGTCGTTAGTTGTGTAGTTGTGATTACAATAAAATAAAGTTTTGATGATAATATTTTATAACAATTCATAAGATCAAGGCAGATTTTGGGTCGCATAGCCGGAGTAAGTGCATTCATAACAGTTATTTCTTTGGAGTCCATATTTAAACAATCATAAGAAACTTTCAATTAATATTATATTAACGGTGTAAAACGGTAATGAAGTTTTTTTTTTAAATAATTGCTCAGAAACAAACCGATTAATTGCGATTGTATTGCATAAGATATTCAATTGAAATACATAGTTGTAAAGTGTTTAGAGTAGAAAAAAATATAATACTTAAAATAAAAATCAGAAAAATAATTTATCCATTAGTTAAAAAAATCATCAGTCTAATTGAACCGTTATAATTAGGGAACTCACAATTCTCCATCACAGTGATTAAATTTTTGAATAATATTTTTTTTATTGTAGAAAATAAAAATCCCCTTTTGCTTCCACTACTAGGGACATTTCGTGGATCGACATTTCGTGGATCGCCTCGATGTCGCCACCAGTTATTGATTGGTTACCTAATTGAAGTAATACGGAAGATATCCTGCAACATAACTAAACTATAAAAAGCTCCTTTATAAAACATTTTTCAAGTTATACTTCTTTTGGCGCGTTAGGGAAAATGATGAGAGTAAATTTTTAAGATGCGCGCGCACACCGTCTCAAGAAACCGACACCCTGAAGTGAGTTAAAGTCAACATTTTAGTTTTTCTATTGTTAGTGTCGTTTTTTCTACAAACGTAGAATACATTTTTTGAAAAGATTTTTATATTGTTACGCCAAAGAAGTAAACTTCTAACGCGTGTACATAAGTAGACACACGCTCTTTTTTTTTATTGCACATAGTACATACACAATAATAATCAAAATTAGATTTAAAAACCACTGGTTTGTAATGATCTAACAGCAGCAGCCTTGTTCGTTACAGGACACATGCCACATTCCCTTTAACAAACCAATATAATTAAGTAAAAAAGTGTTCGATGCTCTATTATTACGCCATAATTATTAGGGACTAACTTACGGTTAAATTTGTCTTTGACATTTATAACTTCAAAGTAAACTGCGCACGAGACCCCGATCGACTGACTTCCTAGACACACTGTAGACTTAGGAAATGGTCGAAGTTATCCAACCTTTGGTAATGAAGAACTCTAAGGATGAAATACGCATTGCCGAGGCGTGTACATTATATTTAAGTTTCTATTTCACAACCAGTAAATACACTTTTCATTGAAAGTAACCCTTTTTTCTGCAAATATTTACGGATGAGTCACCCGTGACCCGGTAGGCTGTATCGGGATATCATTAAAACGTCACAACCTAGTTAAAATTCTAGAATTTAAAAATATATTTTTTACTAAAATTGTTATAAAATTTTGATTTTGTATTCAAACACTGTATTTGGCACAACTAAATAATAAATTTAAGTTGCAAAATCATGGAATTCGGGCTGCGTTTACACTTAAAGTTCCGGGATTGCGAGCCAGTGGGTCGAGTCGCCGACTCCGGTTTAAAAAAACTTAATTTATGCTCCAAGTGAAAAGTTCAAATAGTTTCCAACTAAAAGTTTTTAACTCTTTTTTATTGAACTTGTGATGGAGTCGTGTTAATTCACTGCTATGGACGTAGATTTAAGTCAAAACTTTGCCGAAATGATGGATTTTATTTAACTTTTGAACTAATCTTGGAAAGTTCCTGTGTTAGCTCAAATGTAAGAAACGTTTAGTAGCTTTTTGACACTTAAGTGTCCTTCTCATATGAACGATTATATTGTTGTGTAACTGACGTATAAAAGCTCTCCCCAATGGTTTTACCCGTACCATTAGATTGATCACCCGCCTTGAGCGTAATATACAAAATCAAATGTTTTTACGACTGTTTGCTTCAAATTTGTTAATACCATTAGTTAGCGCATCTAGCGTGTCTTTTATTAAAAAATTCAATTGACGATGTTCATTTTGCTAACGATACTATATCAAATAAATATTACATTCAATTTTCCAGGTTACTCTTCAGTGATACCTGGATATCCTCGCTATACGATGTTTGGTGACAGGAGACACGGTGTCTACAACCTGCGTATTGTCAATGTTACCTTAGAGGACGACGCGGAATACCAGTGCCAAGTTGGACCAGCACAGATGCACAAGGTCATCAGGGCGAACGCCTCCATCACCGTTCTATGTAAGTACCTTTATCAAATAATAAACTAACATCTTAACTGTAATCTATTCTTGTAGAAATTTCAACAACCCTTAAATATATTATCTTTTTTTAGGCTGGTAAAACGTAATTCTCCCTCGTTAGGTTTAATTGACTTTGCTAATCTGTCCTTAAAAAAACAATCAAGAAATAGAGTTCAACCTTTACCTTAAAGAAAAGAAAACACTAATTCATTTTTAATGCAAACTCTCTTTGTTCTTAATTAAGAACGTTTTCCAAACGAAAGGAATTAAGAATATTAAAGGAAAACAAGGAAAATTAACCGCGATCGTAACATTAAGTTTAACGGGCTTTCTTTGAGTATTATTACTCGGATATACGTAAAAAATATAGTTACAACTGGCTGGTAGTAAATTTTTAAATGTTTATCAGAAAAAAGGCCGCGAGTTCATGAGGTTTCTATTTTATAGATAATTATATTATTGATGTGAAGGAAGTTAAATTTAAACATATATATATATAACAGTTTATGAATGCTACGGTAGTCTTAACCCAAGATTAAAAGTCAAGACTAAGTGCTAAGTAACAAAAACGTAATGGATTTTTACATTCGCCGTCCGGTTCTCTTGTGTCCGACCGTGCATACGACTCAATATTTTTCACTTTTACACCAGTTATATAAAAACTTTTTACTCTGTAGAGAGGTAAACAGAAAAAGAGTATCGGCTACCAAAAACTTGGGAAAATAGTAAAACATAATTTACTTATCTTAACAAATAATTTAGTACGTGAATAAGGGCCACTTTTTTATTGTATCAGTTATACGCTGCGAAAGATGTATATATACATTATACACATATATGTATATATATATACATCTTTCGTTATTTACTAACACACTTAATAACTAATGTTTGCTGTAAGATTATGTTTTACTATTTTCGACTAAAAATTCTAACTGAATATGAATATTAAATTGTATACGTTAAAATGTTTTCTTGGTTTTTACAAATATACTTAGTGGATCCTGGCTTAAATTCAATTACAGAATGCAAACAGCTTCCGCAAACGGACAGACGCTATTAATATACACAATTACACTGTCTCAGTGTTTATTGAATTCTTGCTGAGACAAACGTGCATTTTCCAGACTTTGCAGAATTAATTTAGTTTTTCATGGTTCTTTCAAAGAGGATGTGGTAATGGATAACTTGGATTCTCTTAAGCACTTTGTATTACTGTGAGCAAAAAGCTTTATGTACGTAGGATGGATTCAATATTTCTGTATTTTTACGACAATATTTAATCTTCGTCATAATTAAAGGCCAGCGTAGCACTCGCGAGCCTTCTTTCAACGTGAGTGTCCATGGTCGGCGGTATCATTGCTAACAACATTGATAACACGTTGGTTGGTAATTATTATCAATTTCTTCCTGATTTTGTGGATTGCTTATTAGTGAATAATGATAAAGATTCATTTGTTTAATTTATAATTTTTCTCGATATACCGTGTGTAAATGGCCTACGAAATTTATACAACAAAATGCTCAGCGTTTATAAGTCATTAAGTTTACGTGCAATAAAGATTACTTAGTCTTCTGTTGCTTTGAGATAAGTGAGTCATTTGTTACATATTACTAAACACATTATGGTATGAAAAGTATCTCAACAGTAGTTCCAGTAGATTAGACGATTAGTGCGTTAAAATTAAAAATCTCTTCAATGTTATAAAAATAGTGGAAATATGTGTATTAGGATGAATATCTTCCTATCAACGGTATATTATATAACATATGTACATGAAAAATTAGAAACGTTTCTCAATTTTCTATTAATATTAAATGCCTTAGCCTTTACGTAATATATATATGTATTAAATAGAATAAATAGGCTTGTAAATAAATGTTACTCGATACATCACACCTAAATATTTACTACGATAAGCTGCAATTGGAGCCTGTTATATATAATCATTTGTCGTATTCATTGATCAAAAGGTCCAACGAAGTACAAAAGTTTATAAGACTTCTCTTTGTGTTCAAATCGTCCCAAAAATTCAATATTCAAGAAATAAATCGTAATAGTTTTCAAGTGTTGAAAGGTCAGCGAAAATAAACGAAAAATCTTGTTAGAGAAGAGGTTATATAAGGCTTAACCCGCGATCAATCGAGGGTCAGATATACCAGTTTATGACCGCAAACGTGATAGGTTTGCTTAGGGATGTGGAGGGTCGATAAAAATACACGTTACTTGATTGAAGTGTTACACAAGTCATTTGGAAACGTCTGTAAATTCTATTTGTTTTACATTAAAGTGTTGTTATGTGACAGCAACATCAGTGTTTACGTGAGAAGCACTTCGAATGCTATATTTGGCTTATCAATGTTTGAATTGATATTCCAGAGTTATTTAGTACCCCATTAACGAAAAAAATATTTCAGATAAGTTTTTAGGTAACTTAAGCATTTGCCACTCAAAACATGTTTTACTATCATATTAATACCAATCGATATAAAAATATCGATAAATATACATCCCTAAGGAACGCAATAATAGGAGCAGGACTACTTTACGAGAGCCTTTTATTCAAATTCGCTGGTTCCGTATCCAATAAGCAATAAGCCTCCGATATATTTCTTGGACCCTTATATTGTTCTGTACTTTGTCTTTTGTATACAAAATATAAATCACTGGCTGATCTTGCGATTTTGTTTACCAAAAATGGCTTAAATGTGTTCTTTGGTGCTTCTTGTATACGTCTCTTCAAATACTAGTCCTGTCAAAAAAAGACGGCAAATTTGTGAATTTATATCTTAATCTATCGAGTCTATCCTAAAACGCAACTAAATATAAATATGAATTTAAATTATAATATAGTCAAAGTCAAAGAGTCAAAATCATTTATTCATATAGTTAACACAACGTACACTTATGATCGTCAAAAAAATATATACGTATATATGGAATGCTTCTAATTTTACATTTACCGCCAGTTCTCAAATCAAAGGCGAAGAAAATAAATAATTACTGGCCAAAATATAGTTTTCTAACCATGTTACTGTTGAAAGTTCAATTAATCGGTCTTACGTAAAATATAGGAATACAGAAATGGGGCACTTATAATGTTGGGTTAGTTCCTAACTGGTACCCTCTTTAGAGTCAGGGGAAGTTTGTACACTGAAAACATTGCTCCTGTTATAAACTTTCTAGTTTTTGTCAAGTTTTCCAATTATTTCTTATACAAAGATGTATTAGCACGGACGAAATATTCTCCTTTTTTAAACTTTATAGGATACATTATATATTTTTACTAACTATAGATGGTACTTTTCCAGTCCCATTAAAAATATTTTTTTCAGTTTAGCAATATGTCATCTAATTATAGTTTGTCATCTAATATATAAAACTCTCGTGTCACAATGTTTATTCCCATACTCCTCCGGCTCGACCGATTCTTATAAATTTTTTTATGCATATTCAGTAAGTCTGAAAATCAGCTACTATCTCTCTTTCAAACCCTTAAGTGATAAGGAGTGTCCACCCCAATTTTTTTTTTCAAATATAATTTTTCTAGACAATTTTTTTTGTTTTTATTATTTTATGATACAGCATACAAATATAAATACAACCCTTAATTTTCACCCCTCTCACGATCAACCCCTCCTTTTTGTTATTGTAAAACAAAAAAAATGTTTCCTATAAATAATATACATGGCAAAACAACGTTTGCCGAGTCAGCTAGTAGTCTGTAAATTTGTAAACAATGCCCTACTGTTCTTACATTCAGTTCTCCAATAAACATAAAATATACACTATTTTTTAAATAGGCTAAACAATAAACATTATTCTTAAAACAGTGCCTTCTAAGTATGACAAAGTGAAATGGGTCCCGTGTGCGAAAGCGAGATACAACGTGTCTGGATGATACGCAATTGATATGTTGGATAGTTTGCAAAACGATTACTATGGCTGTATAGATAAACAATAGACAATAATACAATCACGAAAATAAAGCAATATTGATTTAATCTTGCTGGTCATGGCTCAGGCCGCATCTGTGTTTTTATCTCTGAATTTCACGCATTTACGCTCCCCCTTTGCAATGAAGGTTTTTCGTATACTATAAATTATAATTCAAAGTAGATTACATATAAAAGGTTAGATTAAACAAAATAAAAATATCCATAATGTTATCAATTGTGCAATAATAATTCAACATTTATTTATTAATCTCTAATAAAAAATAAAAAATCAGTGGCGCTACAACTTCTTTAAGTCTTGGCCTTAGATTTCTGAATCTGTTTCATGGTCATTTTTAAATCTAATAGGCAAGAAGGTGATCAGCCTGTGCCTGACTCACGCCGTCGACGTTTAGGGTCTAAGACATGTCGGTTTCTTCACGATGTTTTCCTTCACCGTTCGAGCAAATGTTAAATGCGTACATAGAAATAAAGCCAGGGATTCGAACCTACGACCGTAGGGATGAGAGTCGCACGCTGAAGCCACTAGGCCAACACTGCTCTATTAAACTTTAAACTTAACTTAAATTCCGTAAAGATTATTTTCATTCACACAAATAAGCTTTCCTAAAATGTGTTTAAATAAATAAAACTTTCCTATTCCCGAAGTAGGCTAAAATATTCTTAAGAAACGTCCTAAAAAGAAAACACCAGTGTAAGTGAACGTTATGAAATTAGGTACTATTCATAACAGAAGCCGCCATTTTTCTTTTGCTGTAAAAGTTTTTTCTTTGTTAGAGTTGTTTTGCTGATATATTTCACCTTTATGTTAAGCTTTACTTTTTCTCAAATAGCCGAGATAGCAGAACCAGGTAACAGGTAGCGTTTACAAAAAAATACTTTAAAATTATATTAAGTTTTACATGAATATTTATAGACAAATTAATAACTACTTTTTTGTCGATATCAGAAATGCTTTAAATGTAATAATTAATAATAATAAGCGTAGCAGATGTGTTTTGAACTTTTTTGGCACATATATTCCACAATTCTTACCTATGTAACTGGTTATTTAGTTACGTACAATAAAATAAACGTTATTATTATATATACAAACAGTTAAATTTGCGGTATAAATTACAAAAGCAAGTTGCTAACGCTACCACGCCTTAACACTAGATTACCCAATAACAATGAATTCAAACATCCCATCTTCCCTCTCGCTCCCAGTGTCTCGCTCACACGCAATCTCGTGTATAAAATTTGCAAACCTACCCAACTTATCTAACCCTTTTAAAATATTTATAGAACGGGGTGGGGTGTTCGCTATTTATTTTCGTTTATAGCGTGCGCAGCACTAAGATACTTGTTACGTAATGAGATAAATAATGTATCAAAGACTTTGACTATCTACCAACCGTGTAAGCTTGACGTCCATCGTTTCACAACTGAACCAGCTGCCCACCGATGAATTTCCGAACCGATTCGACTTGGAATCCTTCAAGAACAGAGTGTACCAATTCTTAAAAGGCCGGCACTCACGGCGAGCCCTCTTTGGGCGGCGGTATTACTTAACATCATGTGAGCCGACTGCCCCTTTGCCCTCTGTTATATATAAAACAA